GCACGAGACACATCGACAGATCGTTGAATGGTGTGTTCTGTCTTTTTCTCTTTTTTTATTTTCCTGTACTTAGCTTCTAGTGCTGCTTCAGTTGACTGACAGCCCTATTAATAGCCCAGCTCGTGTGATTTGTGCACTGTTTTAAAGGATTTCACGTTAAGGCTTTGGGTTATCAGCCCCTGTGTGTTTTATTGCTGATTGCATCCATTACAGCCCCACTGCTTTATTATTGCAGAGCATGATGATATTGTTCCCATCTCAGTACTGTTGTTTGATATGTTCTAATGGTCATGTAACCAGCGCCAGCACGTTAAGCATTAACTGCATAATCCCTAACAACGAATCTGATGTCTTTAGATTGTTTATTGAGATGATGGTTTCATTGGAAGATATTTATAACTAATTGCCACTATGTCATCATTTAACTCCTTAAGTGCTGTCAGAGGCACAATGCAGCTTTTTTATATAATCTGGGCATAGGAAGCCCCCCCTCTCTCTCTCTCTTTCCCTTCTATTAACAGCAGAGGGAAAATGTTTGATCTACAGTTGGCATTTTTCAGATAATAGCCCAGATCATCAAAGCGTGATCGGTTTACAGTGTATTTTTCCAGATCTGTAATTTCAAGTAGCTCTGCAATTATTGCTGGTTTATTGTACTCAATGGCTGCGATAGGTTACTGCTGAACTATTTTTACAGCCAAGCCAAGTACAGCACTATGTTTGAAGAGAATAGATTGCATGCTCAATCACATAAACAGCATTGTTTTCTGAAGGCACTCGGCTTGTCCAGCTTTTTAGATACTAAATAGGCAAAAAGTCGTCTTTTTTTTTTTTTTAAGATCGCTGTTTGCTGAAGTCAACCTATCACCTAATGGGCTTAATTGCAGTTTTGTCCCCCACCCCCCCTATTTAAAGATAGTGTTACATTACAGTGTAATATGACATGTTTTAAATGGCTCCAGTATTCTGAGCTGTGCTTGGCTGCCCCCCTATGCTCGCATTTTAATGTCTGGCTGCTTTTGTTTCTCGGTGCTCAAGTTGTGTTTTTTTTGTGTATCTTTTTTTCTTTTGCTCCTGTCAACAATATCAAGTTGACGTTTTGATAAAAAAAGATTGTTGAAGAAGAAGAAAAACATTAGCAGGTTGACCTGACTTCTGCCAAGATGTGATCATGTCCCCTCCCCCTGTCTAACTTTCCTGTGCAGCTGTCTACCCCCTCATCTGCCACCCCCCCCACCTTTTTTTCCTTTTTTCTTCTAGTACTTATTATTTGCTTTTCAAATTTATTACTTCAACGTGGCTTGTGATCTGGGAAAAAAAAGGGGAAGGATTAAATATCAAGAAAGCAGTATGAATATCATCCATGTTCTCTTGCCACTTAAAGGAAATGACTCAGCCTTTTTATTAGTGCCTGAGAAGCATCAATAACAAGCTGAAGAACACATTGACACAATGCAGCGTCCACATCTCCTTCTAATAGTTCAACAATTGTCTGCCAGAAATAGATGCTGATCATGTTTTCTGCCCACTGGGCGTTGACGTACGTTTCTTCTCCACCTGTAATTACATTTTCATTCTTTTTTCTCTTTCTGGTTTTCATTGCATGCCCTCAGGCAGTCACGTGATTGTTATTACTCTAATCACATTTGGACTTTTTAAAAGGTGGCAGTGCAAGCAAGCAAACAAAGAAGGGGGGGGGCGGTAATAGCTGTCGGCCGATTTGCTGCAGAAGTTGGATCAGTGAAAGCTAATTTCAGCGGTTGGTATTGGTTACCACACCTTTTGGCATTCTTTAGGAAAGTTAATGAGGAAGTGGGAAGTGGTGAAACTTATAGCAACCAATCAGAAGCCGTTTCTTAAATGCCTTGAGATAAATGTTTTCTGGTTGCCGTGGTTACTACACTTTCTGGCTTGTTTTAGAAAGTGGTAGAAAGAGTAATGAGGAAGTGAGCGATGCTGTAACCCATAGCAACCAATCAGGAATTTTTTTATTTTAAATCTAAGATGAACTGATATCTGGTTGCTGTGATTACTATACTTTCTGGTTTGCTTTTTAAAGCAAGTGGTAGGAGTAATGAGGAAGTTAAGTGTTGTAACCCATAGCAACCAATTGACAATCTTGTATCTCCTAACCAAGACAAAATGATACCTGGTTGCCATGGGTTACTACACTTTCTTCCTTGCTCTGTAAAGTATTGAAAGGTGTAAGGATGAATTGAAGTGTTGTAACCCATAGCAACCAATCAACAATCCTTTATCTCCGAATCCAGACCAAAATATACTTGGTTGCCATGGGTTACTACACTTTCTGACTTGCTCGGTAAAGCAGTGAAAGTATTAATGAGGAAGTGAAGTGTTGTAACCCATAGCAACCAATCGGCAATCCTTTATTTCCTAATCAAAACGATGCCCGGTTGCCATGGGTTACTACACTTCCTGATTTGCTGATTAAAGCAGTGGAAGGCTTAACGAGAAAGTGGTGTTGTTACCCGTAGCAACCATATGCAAATATTTTATCTCCTAATCAAGACAAAATAATACTTGGTTGCCACGCGTTACTACAGTTTTCGACTTGCTCAGTAAAGTATTGAAAGGTGTAATGAGGAAGTGAAGTGTTGTAACCCATAGCAACCAATTGGCAATCCGTAATCAAGGCAAAATGATACCTGGTTACCATGGGTTACTACACGTTCCGACTTGCTTGGTAAAGCAGTGAAAGGAGCGAGGAGGAAAAACCCCATGTTGTAACCCATAGCAACCGATCAAGAATCCTTTCTCTCCTAAACAAAACAAACTGACAGCTGGTTGCGGTCAGTTTTTACAGTGAATGGATTGTGGAGTAAAACACTAGAGAAAAAGAAAGTTTAAAAAAAGTGCTGTTCCCCCTAGCAACCAGTAAGAAATAATGTTGTAATACCTGATCCAACTACATTACATTGTGATGCGTGCTTGCTGTGAATGACTGAACTTTGCTCTGCCATAATGAATTAGCCTGTTTGTATATTGTTCCTTGCTGTGTGAAATCACATTGTTCAGAGGAATATATATATATATATATTGACTAATGCCTGAATGATTCACGCCAAGCGGCCCGCCGATGTTGAATTATGATCCGGAGGAGCGGTGGAATTTTGAGCAATGATGCGAAGGTCTGGTTATGTAGCTCTGCATAATATTGATAAATAATTGAAACAGGTAGAAAGTTTCCTAATGCGGTTGTGCTTTACACCCCGGTGATGTCATTTCCCCTCCGGCCTCGGTTAGTCATTCATTATCAGAATAGCAGAAGCAACCAGAATTCAGTGTTACTTCATTGGCCGGCAGCCTACAGAAACCAGCAGTGAGAGCCAGAGCCTAGAGAGGGCAACATTACACTCCCATCTTCAAATACACTTTGTTTTCACTTGCTCCATTAACTTGTTTCTATACAGCCGCATCCATTTATTATTGATTGGAATCATTCTGCAGGTTTTTTTTTTACATACTTTCCTAACTAGTTGCAGGCAAAAACATAAATATTGACTTCTTTGTGCTAATCTTTGCTCTTTGTGTTTTTAATAGCTGCTAATCCCAGGAATGGCGGTGGAGGTCATGTTTGGCTTGATAATGGGGGTCTCCGCAGTTTTATCTTTTTATAATGCGTCTGCTAATTTTAGGCTTTTGTCGTCCTTGAGGAATAATTGCTGCGTTGTGGGTGCTGTTACTTCTTATAAAGATGTCTGGGCTGTTGTGGAAGTGTCTTATCGAGCTGGTTACGCAGTCAACGTGTGTTGTGGAAGGAGGAGTCGTGTAGCTAGGCTATTATACTACAGCTGCTACATGTTGTGGTTTGTAAAAGTGTGCAAGGGCTGTACAGCCTGACGAAAAAACAAAAACATTTCCTATGATCTCTCAGCAAGTTAATGTAGTCGAGGGAAAGCTGAATTTTGGTTGCTATTGGCAGTGACTATGGTTGTTACTGTTGGCTACGGCTTTGGTTGTTGCATCTTAAAGAGAACCTGTCACTAACTTTAAAAAAATGCAGGTAAAAGTACAGAAAAAGCAAGAATTCTTTATTATTATTATACAGGATTTATATAGCGCCAACAGTTTGCACAGCGCTTTACAATATAAGGAGGACAAGCGACTATGGTTGTTACTGTTAGTTACTGCTTTGGTTGCTGCATCCTAAAGAGAACCTGTCACCAACTTTAAAAATTGCAGGTAAAAGTACAGAAAAAGCAAGGATTATTATTATTATTATTATTATTATTACTATACAGGATTTATATAGCGGCAACAGTTTATACAGCGCTTTACAATATAAGCAGGGCAAGTCGAGGCAAAATGGTAAGGCTAAGCAATGTGACACTTTGATGGTCAATAAAGAAGATTGACTGCAAAAGTTTTTGGCGTGCGAGTGACTTTCTACCATGCACAAAGTGGTAAGGAGGGCCCTGTCCGTGAGAGCTTACAATCTAAAAGGGAGGGGCAAGTGATACAAAAGTATTTTAAATGCTTCATTGTAGTGCCTTTCTTTGCCATAAGGCTAGGTTCATACCTATGCGACACCGGGGACACGCGCGATCGT